AAAATAAAAAAAAATATGCATGCACACTCTCTCAGCCCCAGAAAAGCTGAGGATGGTATGTACGGATGATATTAATAGGGAGGATGGTATGTAGGAAAAGTAATTTTCCCGGCACTGTTCTCTCCATTAATAATGCATTGCTCATAGCCCACCAAACTGCTGTTTTGAAGGATGGGAAGAACGAACATGATATCATGGGAGAATTCTGGCATGTGTCATACCCTCCAACACTTCATAAATGAAAACTAGGGCATTTGTGGCTAAACTACATCAAAGTGTGGCCAAAGGAATGCACCTAGGAGATAAGGCAAAAGCTATAAATGAGGAAGAAAACAGAACAACTAGTTTAAGTGAAGAAACCCTGGAAATTATATACTGTATTGTTCCCAATTGGTAAAGAGGTCAGACAAGGTATCTGTTCAACTTGTACGCAGAACATAATATAAGAAAAGCAGACTTGGACACGGAAGAAGAAAGAATGAAAATAGGAGGAAGGAATATTAATAATCTAAGATATGCAGATGACACCAGAATACTAGCCAAAAATCTCACAGAACCTGGAACAACCCTTGTGGGGATTTTGCCAAGAAAACCCGAAGAACAAGTAATAACAATAATCAATATCATCATGGCGGGCGGCGGCGGGGGGCGGTGGCGGCAGGACCTGCCTGGGGCCGGTCCTAAGGCCTCGGGGCGGGGGCACATCCGGCCCCTGGGCCTTAGGTTGCCTACCCCTGTCCTACACCATCACTTTTTTGTGACAGAGTTAAGAAAAATGAGAATTTTTTTTTTAAAAAAATGACAGAAATTCCTTAAGTGACTGTACTTAGTAAGAACTTCTTAGCCTTGTATAAAAATTAGGTTTATTTCAGCTACCAAGATCCCTTGTCACTTTTTCATATGGAAGCACCAGTGTGGCCAGCTAGAACCTGTTCCTGGGAGATATAAGCTGAGTCCACATTTGCCATAAACTCATGGCATGATCATGAACAAATTTTTCTTGCACCCTTTCCTTCCTTCTATAAACCAGAGTGTGCTATCTCATGTTTCTGTTAAGAGTACCAAAATGGTAAAGAAAGGGGCTATACAGACCGGCAGTAAGAGCTGGCATCGGGGTGGAGTCGGGGCCGCAAGCAGCTTTCTGCCACTTTCTTTGGAGCCTGCAAAGTGCCGGATCAAGACCGTGGCATGCGGATTCTGTAGCCCTGATCCAGCGCTCAAAGGGGCAGCAGCAAGCCACTCCAAAGGGACTGTTTGTTTAGCCCCAATGTCTTCAAAAAAGCTCTAACAACCTTTAAACATATGCTTTTAATATCAAAGGCAAATACAGTATATGAGCAGATGTAATGGCAGCAGTAACATGCTATGGAAAACATGTTTTAGCAACTTTAGATACAAGCTATACCTACTTCAGATCATTTTAGTGGTGAGGAGAAATAAATGAAAGATATGGTTATCCTTCCTTACCTGTTCAATGTATAAGACCCATTCCTCTTGAGTTTCATGTTTGCAGACAGAACTTTTATGAAAAAATCCAGAATGAGATGTGCTTGTCCTAGTTTTAATGAGAACAGAAGCACCTGTTTATCAGAGAGGCATTTGTTGGTCAGGGAAACTCTTTCCTGTTTCACAAAGTCATCAGTTGGGAACAATCAGAAACCGCCAGTTAGCAGGAAGGAAATCACCACAGGCAAAACAAGAGCCTGAGGATGTAAAATATTCCACCTCTTCATAAGCAAATCCCTTAAACCTTTTCCAAAAAGGACCAGAGTTTGGCAGCTGAAGCATAGGACAAGGAAGAGATGAAAAAAATATTACATCCTCTCACATGTTTCAAAGAATAACCCTGTAGAAAAATCAAGTTTGATGCGTTTTGCCTTCCTCTTCTCATTAGTCTGCAAGCAGCTTCAGAGATTGCTCTTCCTCTTGAGCCACTTGACTTACTACTGTACTTAAGCATTTAAGAACACCTCAGGAAAACATGGCAAACAAGAGCAGCTTGTACCTAGATCCCAAAATGTCAGAAAGAGATCAAGCTGAAGACAACTGAACAGGAAAGTAGGTATGACAGGTGTCAGAGAAGACAAGTTTATAGGTGAGCTTTTAACGCTTTTAACGCACATAAAAACCAGGCTATTCCTGAATATTGCAGGGTAGAAGGCTATGGAGGAATGCTACCAGCAGCCTAGTGCTAGGCACGCTGCCCTACATAAATCATCGGATCACACTGTCTTTAGTTAGGCTGCTTAGCTTCTCTTCCTGTACACTCCCCTGCTCCCTGACTGCAGAACACCGCTGCTGGCCCATGCACTTTCAACAATACAGAACCATAACCAATAGCCTTTTTTTTTTTTTTAACAATGAAAAGCAAATCTGCTGGAATTCAAGCAGCTGCACTGGTTCCCCAAAATAAAGGCTTCTTGGAACTACAAGGAAGATAGGGCTTGAATCCCTACTCAGCCATGGAAGCTCACTTGGGCAAGTCAAGAGGAGGTGTTTACAAGAGATAGCAGCCAGCTCAGAAAGTAATATGGAAGGAACACTGTTGCCTTTTTTGTCAGAGCAGGCCATTGACTGCTCAGCCCTCAAAAGACCTGCTGAATATTCTGTACTGTTTTTATGTGTGTCTTGTTTTCTTTTTAATGATCATACTTTTAAATATCTAAATACTGCTGACAGTTCAAATTATATTTTTAAATTTCATATGATTATGGTGAAGTGGTTTAAGCACTGGACTACGACTCTGGAGACCAGGGATCAATTCCCTGATCGGTCATAGAAACCCACTATGTGATAGGTTCATCTTAGGATCACCATAAGTCAGAAACAACTTGAAGGCACATAACAACAAATGATATGAAACTTTTAGCTTCACCTCTTTTAGGTACTTTTAGGTACAATATAATAATAGTAATCATAACAATAATCACTTTTGAACTTATCTAACTTTGCACTCACTTTGTCACTTTCTTGGAATTAATACAAGCCAGGGAAATTATCATCTGACTTCACACATTACTCTGGCTTCTGCTAATAGCATTCCACCCCCCTTTTCTTTTACTTGAATAGCCTACATTGTCACACTTAAAATGTTATTTAAAAGAAAGCTAACAGCATGTTAAAATTTTGACGTAAAGTCAGAGGTGTAAGAAATGCAACCACAGCCAAAAATCAAGCAGTTCAGGAAAACAGAAGTCTTTTTCACTGCCACTTTCAGCAAATACTAACCTAAGCATAACAGGTTACAGATATAGTTTAAGATAGGTATGTAGTTTGATGGATGAAGTAGTTAGGGCATACTCTGCCCAATACAGTATGTATATCTGGACAAAATGTCAGCATCACAGCAACTGTTGATCAGAAATGACTCATGGGTACAGTAGTGTACCAGGAAAGAATGGACGGAAGAGTTCCTAATCTCTGCCATGCTGAGTTTCCTATACATAGAAAGTAATGTTTGGGCATTTAAAAATACCGTATAACCAAGCTGAAGAAAATGAGAAGAATACAGTCTATAGAAAACTTAGATGACCTCAGAACAAAGTCTTTAAGAAGAAGTTAAAAGCTCATCAAGGATAAATCTAGTTATTGAGGAGCTTTGAACTTCCTAAAGCCCTTGTTCCAAGATCTAACATCTTAATCCACTCTTGATGAACACAATACATATTCCAGTTTGCCCTCTGTATCCACTTATTCTTTATCCACACAATTAACCATTCTCAACTTGAAAATATTGAAAAAATATAAATTCCAAAAAGTAAACCTACATGTTGCCATTTCATGTAAGGGATACCATATTACTACACCTTTGTATATAATGGGACTTGAGTATTCATGCATTTTGGTATCCACAGGGGGTCCTGGTACCAAACCCCAGTGGATACAAGTGCCCACTGTACTCTAAAGCATTTTGTGTCTCATTTTGGGAGGAAGGAAGGATACAAATCAAATCAAATAAATAAAATAATGGAACTACTACTTTGGAATTAATTCACAAAACAAAGCAGTCTATTTGTACAAAGTAATACAAGATGGTTACTAACTTGTGTCTTTGTAAGGCACAAGAATTTCTCACATTTTCAAAGTTCTGACAACTTTATTGAAGTTTTACAGAAACTAAGTTTATTCTTACAGTCTGTCTAATTAAGGTTTATTGTATTTTTATTTCATACTTCATACATATAACTCAAAGTGTCATATATTCCCTTATTCCCACTTACTTCACAACATCTCTGTGGGGAAGTTGGTTGAAAGAGAGTAAGGGGGGTTGCAGACTGCCAGAAATAGTGCAAAATGAGTCCACTTTTAGGGTTAGGATTAGTGCTAGGGAATCATGGGAATTGGGTTTTTTTCTGGAACATTGAGCCTTCTCTGTCAGAGAGCTCTGGTGCCACAATAAACTACAGTCCCCATGATTCCCTAACCCTAACCATCAAAGTGGACTCAATTTGCACTATTTCTGGCAGTCTGCAACCCCCCTAACTTGCCCAAAGATAGCCAATCAATTTCTCAAGTTCAGTGAATAGGAATATAAATCTGGATTTCTCCAGCTCTAGTTCAACACTCTAACCTGTACATCACACTGGTTCTCCAACTGATCTTAACATCTGCTGTTCAATGCTGGTCTGTATGCTCTCCCTTTTGATCCTCTTATAATCTGGCAGGCTATGCTGGTTTTAAAAATAGCTATGAGTTACCAAGGACAAAACTATTATACTCAATGTTATTTAGCAGCACAGTCCTTCTGTATTTTTATTTATAGACTTTTTTGGTATTTATATTTCATTATCAGCATTTAATACAAACTGGATTGGACAGTACTGATATTTCTCACTGCCGAAGAGATTATAAGAAACTAAGAACAGCCACAAAGGATCAAACCAAACATTCATATAGTCCAGGGACAGGCAACCTTTTTGAGACCTGGGCCGGTCTCCCGTA